CCGGGCCCTCTGCCCGCGCCTCCACCTGCGCCACCTCGCCGAGGCGCCCCACGCGGCCCTCCCATGGCCCTCGGAGCGCCGGTCGCCTCCGGCCGAGGGGGCAGTGGTGGGCGCGGGCGGGACGGAGCCCCGATGGCAACTCGCCGGGCGCGGGCCGCGAGAAAGTCCCCTCTTTTGTGTGAAAGCGCGCAAGGCAGCCTGAGGAAAAGAATTCGGAGACGAATAAAGCGCCGGGCCGCTCGGGCCCCGCTCCTCCTCGCTGCCGTCCGGGTGGGGGCGCCGGGGAGGGCGCGCGGGAGGGGTCCGGGCGCCCGCGCCCCCCCCGGCTCGGCTCGCCCGCCTTCGAACTTGGAAAGGTGTAGGCGGAGCCGGCACGGGCGGACAGCCGGGCTGCGGGGGCCGCTCGCGGGGATCCCACCGGGCAACAATGGGGGTCCCGGCGGGGTCGGCGGTGGGCCGGGAGGGGGAGCAGGAGAATCATTGTTTGGTTCCGGAGCGACGCACGTTGCGGGCGAGGCTGGGGCGTCCTCCCGCTGGCGCTTCACCTTGGCGGGATGGATGGGGCGAGGCGGAGAGGGGCGGCGCCGGCCCGCCCCGAGCCTTTAGAAAAGCTAGGGAACCTGCGGACGCCCGCCAGGGCCCCGGGGCAAGAGGCTGCGCCCCGCGGCGGAGTCCCAGAGGCGCGCGCGGCGGGGCGCCGAGTCCCCGGTCCCCTCCTCAGCAACCCCTCCTGCCCCGGGGACTGGATCCGCCGGATTCTGGGCCGGTAGATGGAGGAAGCGGCCCGGCAGTTCCCTCGGGGCTCGGAGGGCGTTGGGTCAGCGGGGTGCAGGAGCTGGGCTGGGCCGGCAGGCGGTCACCGATAGGCGGTGACTGCGGGGCCGCTTTCTCGAAAGCCTAGGTGCGCGGGATGGGCCGCCGGGGTAACCAGACACCGCTCTGCGAGCCACGGAGCCCGCCGGCCTAGGAAGGCAGGGAAGGGGAAGTTTGTGTTAGGAGAGAAAGATTTGCAGTCTTGTGGCATGAAGTGGGGTGGGAAGAGAAACGAGAGAGGCCGAGGACTTGGAAATGAGAGCGAAGGAGCTTATTCAAGCCTAGAAAAGCTGGGCTCTACTTCTCTTGTGGCACTGTGGCATTTTTCAAACAGTTCTTAAAGCTGGCTGTGCGTCGGAACGAAAACAAAGGCGGGGTACTGCCTGGAGCGCATGGGCCCCCCACCACGTTTGGTGCTATGGGATGGGGAAAGGTGGTCCCTCCCGCCTAGTGGAGGAGTCCTGACGAGATGCATCTGCAGGCCTGCGTCTTGTTAGAATAAAACAGGTTTGATGGAGCAGTCCTGGGCTCAGGGTTTCCAAGAACAAATGAGATAAGTCTGAAAGTGTCTGAAATTTGAGGAACAAAAGAGCCCTAGACCAGAAAGCAGTAGGAGCGGGAAGGCGAAGGATTTTGGAATCCTGAATGGAAACGGGGTCTGGACGCAGAGTTTCAGACCCCACCCTCTGGTGATTCTAGGCAAAGGAGCTTTCCACTCTACCGCATCCAGCTAGAAACAACATGAGAAGACAAGTTTGGAAAACGGTAGAAATACCAACAAATGCACAGCGTTTAAACGGAAAACTTGCCTGTACTGGAATCACTGCAAAGTTTCACTCTGGGTGGGACAGGGAGTGAAGGAAGAGAGTTTAACCATGAGGCTGGAAGGATGCTATAAGAAATTATGTCATCGTGGCAGTTCTTGCACCAGCAGCTCTTTTGCAGAGAGCTGGGAGCTGAGTGCTAACAGACCATAAGTATGTTCTATAACGAGTGCTTCTACACGTGGAAAAGCAACTGCACACTCCCTTTCTATGGCAACAGCCACGGGCATGTTAATAGAATGATGAAAGATAGGAAATAATGTACAAGAATTCATTCCAGAGGGATAAGAAATTAAGGGGAGGTCAAGGTTAATATCTACAGTCTGAACAGGGTGTGTGATTTAAAAAAGGAAGTACATCAAGTATTACAAAGAAGTGCTAGGAGCTTTTTAAAAGTTAGGTGGTGTTTTAAAAAAATAGAAATGTTAAAATAAGGCAACTCCCCATTGTAAAAAGGGAAAAAAAAAACGAGAAGGGAGAACCACTGTGTCAGTGGATGTGGAAGAGCTAAAACAAAGAATTTGAAAGGGTGGATGTTATTGGCAGAGCCCTAGACTGTGTGTACATGGCACACTTTTTCCATGCAGGTCATATCAACTGCCTCCATATAGAGCTTAACCAGTGAACAGAAGCGAAGGAAGTACCCTAGCCTGGCAAAGATACTTGCATTTTTTGATGTTTAGACCTTTCTACTTTCTACCTACATATGTTTCCAGAGATGTGAAAAATCAGGAAAAGTAAAGATGGCAAAATTGTTTAACCACAGTGTATAATTCTGACAATGTGTAAAAAGAAATTACAGAATCCTAGAATGTGAAGTTCAAAGAATCTGTCAAATAGAATCCTATATGATACTCACTTCTAAATGTTGACCCATTTACCTAATTTTAACTGTATGTATTTCATTTACTTAGTCTGTATCAAAATATCCATTAAAAATGAAACAACTTGGGGCTGGGAATTTAGCTCAGTGGCGCCGCGCCTGCCTTGCAAGCACAAGGCCCTAAGTTTGATCTCCAATACCAGGACAAAAAAAAGAAGTAACAAAGATGGTAACAACTTGGTATTCTGAGTTTCTTATGCATGATACATGTATTGAATATTTTTTGCCTAACACATAGCCCGAAAAGAGCACCCCAAATACCCCAGAGCACATAATACGTCCAAATCATACTGATGATACAGTAAAATTTACAGCTAGAGATTTTAAGTAGAGAATGTAAAAACAAATGTTAACTACCCATAAACTTTTTTGGTTTTTTACAACTTAGGCAGTGGAGATACTGTTTGGAATATTAGTGTCTCCATTTGAAAATCTTTTCTAGTTCTGAGTTATGTTACCCATACTACTCCCTAATGTCTGTCGTATAAAGACTCTTGAATGTGTATGCACATTTAAAGTTTCTAAGTCTTTGAATTAGGACAAAGATTGCATGAGTGATTTCACACTAACATAATTTGGGAGATGGAGGAGAGTCCATTTTCGGAGATAAACACTTTTTTGAAAGATCAGAATCAACTAGAAGTAAAAATAAAAGTGATTCCCAGAGTTATACATAAATTTTAAAATACAGTCCTGATTTTTCCTAGGGCCAAATGTGCATATGTACTGTTGGGCTTTCAATGCTTATATTTTTACATGTCATATTTTGGCAATAATGTGCAGAAAAGAGGAATTTTCCTCTTCAAATATGGAAAAGACATTTAAAAGCCTTACTACAAATTCAAACAGCTGGTGATATTACGTGATTACATGGTAAACAACATGTTTTGATTTGGGTGAGGAGCTGTCTGCAAATTAGGAGAAAAATGCCATTTTATAAGTTTGTTGCAATCAATACAGATTTTCGTTCTTTTGCTCTACATATCTTCACATTTTCAGATGGGGACTCGTTTCCAAGTCCCTCCATTCACTTTCATTTAGATCTTTTCCAGCCGGTCTCCACTATCACATCCCCTCCCCATCCTCCAACTCTACACTTCTGGCTCCTCCTTCCTAGATCCATTTCACCTTTCCCAAGGCAAAGCCTTAAGTATGGCAACCTATATTTACAAAGCTAAATTGGCACAAATTAGTTTCAGTACAATATGATGCATAAGGGCCCTATTTCAATTTCCATATCTCATACTTTGCCTTCTAGCCCAGGTAGACAGCTTGTCATGCCGCATCCTACCTAGATGCCTTTACGCTACTGAAGGATGCCCTTCTGACTCCTCCCATTGAATCTTCTGGAAATGATTTGATGACACTCCACATAAATATGGACATAGTCCATCCTCTCGTTAAAAAATAATCTCTCCTGTCTTGAAGATTCTTTTGGTGTAATGGGAAGAGTACCTCAGCCACTGTTAATTTAGTTTTTAAGCTTCTTTCTGATTCTCATTTTTTTCCCGCCTACTTTATTTTTCTCGTATTGAAGGACCAATAATCATTGGATGCCTACTTGGGCCAACGTTGGCCCAGGTCAGCATCTAACAAACGTTGCTTTCCTTACTTATCCATAAGGTGCTAATACCTTTCTACTCCCATTAACTACCATTGGTTCACCTCGTATTACCTGTGATCCTTTGAGAATAAGACCTGCACCTTAGTCACCTAGCTTTTCTTTTATTCTTCACGCTGTTTTGTACATACTAGGTAATTAATGCTTGTTGAATCAAAGAAACAATTGTATATAAAATTAGAATGACATACCTTAAACATAAT